CCACCCACCCACACCACCACCAACCCTATCTCTCCCTGCCTGAACTGTTGGCCAAAATCGCGCAAGCTGGGGGGGGGTGGGGGCCGGTGGACAATTTGCCACGGGGGCCAGCAAAACGGAAAGGTGTCACTCGCAACTCTGTGCCTCCTGCTGCTGCTCGTTATTAAGGCCCCGGCACCGAGACACGCCACGGACTTGCCGCTTAATTTATCCTCAGGAGGGGGAGGACCCCCTTGTTAGTGAGCCCCCAAGTTTTTCGTTTCCCTGCAATGTTTCTTTATTTTTTTGCCGCTTATTGGGGTTTGGAAGTGGTCGGGTGGACGGGCTGGGGTGGGGGGGCTGACTGTCTCCCGGTAATTTGCGGCTCATTGGATTATAGAAGGCAACTGTGCTGGACTACACGTGTGCTCTTGTTGTCACTCCGAGTAGCGGTATTTGTTTTTTTTAGCCGTGCGTTTGTTTAGCAATTATGACGGATGCCGCGCTTATTGCTGAACAACGCACAAGCACCGTGTTTTTTTCTGTTTTAGCTTTCGTTTTATAATTGAGGGGAGGTGGAGTGAGGCGCGTGGATGCTTTGTGGTACGATCCCACCAACAACCCTGGCTTGATTCCCGGTTGTATCTTGCTTGCCGCGTTCCTGGGATTCTTGTAGGTCAATTCTGTGTGTAGCAGTTTTTTTTTATTACGGACATTAGCACCATGCCCTAATGGGTGCACACGCATAGCGCTTGTTTGTAGACTAAACAGGCGAATCTCTTCCCGTTCCCGTCGATAATGCGCGTGCGAGGCTCCGTGCGTTTAAGTCCTCTGATATGTCCTTGCCATAGCCCTTCCTAAGAATCTCTCCTTAAGAGTGATTTATAAATAAGCGTGCCTCCTGTGAGCATTTGCCTAATCAGATTATGTGCAATAATTACGTTAAGTGCGCTTGGTAACATCGCTGTTGCGGGTCCTGGGGTGTCGTCGTGACGCCGCGACGCACGTCCAAGCGTTTGTTGTGTTTTTGTTGCAAAGCGATCATAGCTGGAGCACTTTAAATAAATCGCCAACCATTTTTAAATGTCTTTTACGTTAAAAGCCCAAAACAAGCACCTTTTTCATATAAGCGCCTCCAATTACATGCTTGGGTTTCCGTTCGCCACACTTGCGCAAATTGGGCTCCAACGTTGCACATTCAACGCCATCAGTGTAGCGCACGAAACGCATCGAATGCAAAACAAAGTTTCTAGTGTCTGTGTGTCTGCACATGTCAGTGCGTGCGTGTGTCCACGTTCAAAAATCCGCGTATCGCAACATCGTGTTCAGAATCGCTTGACAGGTAAACGAGGGTTTCTTTTTTTTTGAGTGAGAGGAGCTCGTTTGGGAAGGGGGGGGACACATGCGGGGTGAGTGGGTGGGTGGTTGGTGGATTTGGCGGGGAGGAGGTTGTTGACTGTAGTTGGCCAGGGACTTGGGACCACCTTTTTGCGGGTTCCCAGTCCCCTACGGGACCCCCCCCCCCGGTCCCCTTGGCGAGGCGCTGCCGAGTTGGAGGCGGCTCACGATCCGTGTCTGCTGGCTTGAGCGCGCTTCCCGCGAGACTTGTTTTGTCAACAAGCGGCAGCTGTTGCACGCTTCTCCACGGACACCCCCTCTTTCTGCCGATAATGAGGCCCGATTTATCAAGTGCAATTAGCGTTACATGGAATATTTCTGTCGCTTGCGCAAAAAAAAAAAACTTGGGAGAGAGGAGGAAACTGTTCACCCCCCCCCTCCTCCTCCGCCCCCCTTTTTCACCGCTCCTACTCGCTTCGCGAGCTTTGCCGTTCTTCATCTGTGGATGGCTCTAACGAGTTGAGTGCATTTATGTTTGTGGGTTCGTTTGTGAGCTGCGTCGGGAGCCAGGTGTGTAAATTGTAAGTTTTTTGCGCTAAGCGTGCGCGCGCCACTAATCCAGCACTTTTCTCCAGCGTTCGTGTGTGTGTGTGCGACTCGCAGCCTGAATGATTGTGAGGTTTGCCGTGAAGCAGTACAGCAAGTAGGGCATTGACTTATGTGTGTGTGAAAATATTTGGATATTGGCGCTTGCCTGTGTTGGGCGCTCTCCAGGAGCTTTTCTCGGGTAAAAAAAAACTCTTAAGGATTTTGGTCACAACATTCCAGGCAGGGCCCTCCTTGAAGCTGAAGCTTTTCTATCGGTGTTGGTGCGTCATGGGTTCGAGGTACTGATGTCCTGGAAATGTAGGTATTTGTTTTTTTTATTAAACGAGAGCAAATTGTGAGTTGGTACGATACAAATATTAAGTTAAAATTGCAGTTGACCAACAGCTTAATTTGTCACGAAGAAAGATAATTTGTAAAATACCAGAATACCCTTCCAATGTATTCCTTTTAATGGACATACATTTTTGGTTTGATACGGTTCGTAGCGAAATGGTGTGTGTGTGTGTGTATATTTACTCCGAGAAAATGTATACCAGCAACACCATCACAAGTGTATCAAGGGAAGTTAATGAAATCCCATGCTCCACTATCTTCGTGAAATATATATTTTAAATATCGAACGCTTGTTGCTTGCATTCAGTCAACTTTGAAACTTCTCTCCAATAAGTATTGCATGGACTCAATAGTTTACCTTTTTTTTATTACAGCGCAGCTGCTGAGATCGATGTGTTTAAAAAAAAAAACATTGCGGGTGTTTAATATTTATATATGTATGGGACATTGTTAAGTACCCAGGTTTTGCTGGCTGACAACTATAGTTCCATTAATTGGCACATGAAGTTCCTTAATTAAGTGAGCGGCTAACTGTCATACGAGGTAAAAGTTGTTACGTAATGTGTGTGTGTGTGTGTAACAATTGTGCGAGTGCTTGAAGCCTTTTTGAGTCTGGTGTGGAAAGCTTGTAGCCGACTTTTTTTTGTTACACGACCAGACGTTACATCCTGGACATATGGGTCTGGTTACAAGACCCCTGCAATATCTAATCTCTTCACCCGCTGACTGAACTATTAATTTGCCTGCGCTCGTAGAGGCGGAACAGAAGATGCCGCAGACGTATACAATTTGTAAAAAACGTAGCACGGCGCTTCTCAAGGTGATTTTGAAAGAATCACTTTTTTTTAGGAAAAACAAATGAAACCTCCCTCCATTTTTGGCAAAATTTCCCCATGGCGCTTTGTGCGAGAGCCCAGATAAATTGTTAACCGAACGCAACCCAGAGCAACTATTTAATTGTACTTCGTGTAACGCCAAAGGTGCCGTTCCTTAATTTTTGCCGTGGTACTGAAGTGTTAATGTATCCTCATTATCGATGCAGCTTGCAAAGAGATGTTTTTTGTCTGTATTGCTGTCACTGGTACTTTAACATTGTCAAGGAACTAGTTTTTTTCACATTTCACACGCGTATATAAAGCAAGTGTTACGCAGCTGCTCCACCGAACGGGTTTTATTATAGTTCACTCATTATTGAATGAACTTATTCATCTTGTGTCAATATGCGTGCACATGTGGTCTAAATTTGGAAAATAATAAAATGCAAGCAGCCAGTTTTTGAAAACGTTATGGTGTTTTGTGATTTTGTTTTTTTAAATGGAATGTGCCAAAATTGTAAGGCCCTTTCTCAGCCGTAGGCAGTTCGGCTCGACACCAATAAGAAATAAAGTTGTTTTATTTTCTCATATTTTTGAAGGAAGAAATCTGGGTGATAAATGCGAAATGTGAGTTCTACTGCAATTGAAGAGGTAGGCAATGAGATGCGTGCCTCAGTCCATGTGTCTGGATCCCACTTTAAGCGAAACAGGGCTTTGTAAACTATGTAATTGGCTCCAAAGGTGCTTTTTGAGGTGGAGAAGAGAAATTCTTCCAACTTTCCCGCAAATTTCTCAATCGTTGCACTTTTCGCCATGGGTTTAAATCCGCGCTCTTTCGTTGTTTCTTAAGAAAAAAAAAAGTCCAAACGCCAGTATCGTGCACTAAAGAGTTGCATCCTGTTGTGTATCGTTGTTGACTTCATTTCTTCTAAGAGCTTCATTCCCGTTGAACAGAAACGTGATAATTGGGTTTCTTTTTTTTTATGCCGAATTGAAAAAGCTGGCACATTCGCTTAACAGCGCGAGGGGCTGCGCGCGCCACCGTTCGCGGGGTATCATTTGTTGGCAATTACGGGGGCTATGGATTGTTTTTTCTTTCCCTTTGCTGTGCTTGTGTTTTTGAAGTCGTCATAGTCATCGCTATAATTGTTATTGACGTGTACATACGGAGGCGGAGGTGGCGGTAAACATGACGGCTGTGGTTCACTGGCCGCACGCCGCATTATCGACGGACGTGCAACACGGCGATTGGGAGTTGCGATGCGGGGGGGGGGGGCGCTGTTGGGAGGCGGCGGGGGGGGGGGGGCACGGTTGGATGGGAACTTGCGTGCAGTAGTCTGAGACCTGCGGCATCCGCTCCCAAAACACGGATGCCACTTAATGTGCAACAGTAAATCATTTTAAATTGACAGATTGGCAGCTTCCCCAAATAGGGTTTACGCTCGGAAAGATGGATGGGTCTCATTTGTGACCTGCACTGCGCACGGAGAGGCGCGTCGCGACGCGGAAGACGAGACGCCTCCCGCCGCCGCCGCCGTGTTGCCACAGGTGCCACGCTCGAACGGGCGCCGCGCTCCAAATATCTCCCGCCGCCTGCCGGCAAATCCTAATCGACGGCATAAACCTCGCCGCTCTCCCTCTCCCCGGCCGCGCCTCCTCGCCACGTTGCCCCGAGCCCCGTGCTCCAGGTGGAGTCTCTTAGCGTGCACCTCCTCCTCCCTGCGTAGCGAGGACAATCGAAGCCGCCCCCCGCTCTCCCCTCCTTCCCTCCCCGCGCTTTCTGTGAAGGGGCAGGCAGGCGGGTGGGGTGGAGAGCTCGTGGCAATGTCGTTGCTAACGGGACGCCTGCGTGCATGTGTCGTCTGTGCGCGCGCCTCCGCCCCTACCGACCACTCTCTTCCCCGGTTTTTTTTGTTGCATCCGCAGCCGTCCAAATGCTGTCGGTGCAGTCAGACGGGAAGCCCAAGGGCTGCGCGGGGTGCAACCGCAAGATCAAGGACCGCTACCTGCTCAAGGCGCTGGACAAGTACTGGCATGAGGACTGCCTCAAGTGCGCCTGCTGCGACTGCCGGCTGGGCGAGGTCGGCTCCACCCTCTACACGCGCGCCAACCTCATCCTGTGCCGCAGGGACTACCTGAGGTGAGGGGTGTGAGTCCGCGAGCGGTCGAGCGGTCGGCTGCGCGCTGGCATCCCGGCGCTGGGGCGTCACTGCCGTGGTGTTGTTGCAGGATGTGCCAACCTGCAAGGGGCACGCCGATGACCCAGCCCGAGGGATTTCATTTGGCCCCATCGGCCCTTCCTGGGGGATGAATTTTTTTTGCATTTTAAGTTCGTCTCTCTTCTCTGTGGGAAGTTTTTAATAGCGTCTCGAACTATTGAGAGAGACTGTCTTTTGGAATGGCAATGTGACGTTTGAACGACTGTCGATGGATGAGTGTACCACCTCCCCAGAGGCGTGGTGCTTGGCCACCCACCCCCTCGTGTGTCCTTCCGACCTTCATAGATGCTCTCTAACAGAACTTTTCTCCAGACAAGTCTTAAAGCTATACGGGGGACCTTTGTCTTTGTAACCACTCCAGGGGAGACATTTGACCACTTGTTTACAGGTGTGTGCGTGTGTGTGTGTGTTTTAACACTGCTGCGGTGTCGTGGCTGACGCGCTGTGGACCTTCAATCCGGAGGTCGCCGGTTCAGTCTCCAGGCCACCGCAGTTGAGACAGCGAAAGTTTCTTGCCCCCCCCACCCCCACCCGGGGCACGCCAGAGGTAGTTGATGGACAAGTTGCGCGCGTGGGGTACTCCCGTCTCCATGTGAAGGGGTCTGGCCGGCGTGGAAGAGAAGGCCAAATATATTCTGCTGTAACATTCGGTTGAGTGGCTCCTCCTAATGGAGCTGCCTACGTAGAGAGAGAGAAAAGACCCCCTCTCGCTCACGGGTGGCGTGAGCAAGTAATTGCAGGGCTGCGCATTTTTTTACATTTTGTGGAGAATTCGTGCCTCCTGCGGAAAAACACAAAAACCTTGTCCCCTCGTGGCCCGAATCGGCGCAATCATTGACGGGGATGTGGTCTCGTTGAAGGCAGCGGGTTGACCATCGCTGCGGTTATAAAGGACGTTGGCATTTGCTGGTTGGACTTGGACCTTGCGGGAATGCAAATGAGGAATGAAGTTGGCCAACTTCGGGGATGACGACAAAGCCCTTTTGCACCTCGTTGATGTCAATCTGCAAATATGTTTATTTTATTCACTTTTCTGTGCACCCCATGGTACCTTACTTTTCCTACCCTGGGATAAGAGGCTTGCTAATCCATTCACGATGCTTGTACGTGGGGTGTAGCAGTAAGTCAGTATAATGGTTACCACATTGGACTCTGAACCCAGCGACCTGAGTTTGATTCCCAACCGATTGCTTATCACCAAGTGTCGAGTGATATCCGAGCCGTTTTAGGATTTCCCTCCGCCGTCAACTAGCACTGACCAGCGTGGTGAAGCATGGTCAAATATAACTGACACGAGGCCTACATCCATCAGAGGTGTGGAGGTGCTCGTTCAGCAGTCGCTTTAACAAAGGACTGTAAATTATGACGGAATTATCATCGCCGTTTCAAAACGGCACTCCGCATGGGGAGAAGAGTAAATTTTGATTTTTGAACCGTGATTTCTCTGTGATTGGACGACCTTGTAAGCCCCATAACCTTGAAAGGTTGACATTCAAGAATTGTAGCCTAATATGGGTCTTGACATGAACAAATTTCTACTCGGCAAAGGTCAATTTTTGCCTTTGAAATAAAGATCGCACCCATATTTCAAGCGATTTCCCCCCCCCCCCCCCACCCTGACCGCTCGGCAACAAAAACACCTCCACATATGCCTCGCAAGTTTCACATATCACCCACGCGATACACTCTACAAGACTGCAGTGCATTACATAGTACAAATTCCAGCAATATGCGTTTCTAATATTCACTTTGAATAGCTAACATTTACACCTTGACATTTTAAACTATTGGTGATGGCTAAAGACTTACCAATACTTAACTTAAATGGGTACGTATCAATGTAAATGTTAACATCTTTATGTAAACCGTTTAATCATTCGTGCCCCACAGTGTTATTATTGTTAATTTAACTTTACAATATTTACGCCGTGTTTTATATTCTCTAACCGATTAGGAGTGGGCTGATCCACTCCCCATTGCCTGTGTGGTGGGTGAGGCTCTGCCCTTTGTTTAGAATTCCCGTTGGATGGAATTCCCAGCAATCGTCGCTTTATTTTCACCATATTTCGTATTTTAGCCTCTCTCATTCCAACGTATCAATTATTTTCGATTTACCCCTTTCGGTAGCACCGTTTTGTTGCTGTGGCCGCTTTGGCATATTGGACCGTTGGGCTTGCGCTTGGCAACCTGGTTTTAAAAGTAAATGATATTTAAATAAGAAATATATTTTTACATGGTCCGAAGTCTTGAAAGGTCGATTGTTTGCTGAAGAGGTGTGGGATCCAACGCATCGAGGCGGAGTTGGAAATCCTCTTAGACAAGTGTTTTTACGTGGGACACGAAGCACTGTGGCCATGATGATGATCATCATTTCGACGTCTCTATCCCACGTAACTATCTCAAATATGTGCAAGATCCTCTCCTGCAATTATGTGTGTGGTAAGAGGCAGTAAAGCAAAAGAGCTTTTCGGACTTATCTGGGTAGAGTTTGAGCGTTCTCTCTCTATATATATATAATGCGTAAATGTTTCTCGGCACTGATTTTTTTTTTTTCCAAAGTCAAATACTTTTTTTAAAACAAGCGGTTAAACGTCATATCGTGAATTTGCCTATGTCGGTGCACCGGGAAGACTGCGCACAAGTGACAAGCGTTGTTAGGGATAGGTGGGCCCCGGTTTTTAACTTGAACAATAATAGTACGACAACCACTTGTTCTACTTTGCCGCAGCCATAATACATGTCAATGCCATCGTCATCTTCATTCACGCGGCACACATTTTGCAAACAAGATGTCCCAGAGCGCCTGACCTTAACGCACTGCATTTCAATTAAGTCGGAGTTTTTTTTGTGTGTGTGCGTGTGCGCAAGCTGTGAACGATTTGAGGGAATCTCACAGCACATAACCGCGTAGTGGTAGCCAGCGCCACCGCCGATGTTTAATGCAAAACATGATCCGAAGTGGTAACGGCCTTTCATCTTACTGGTGCGTGGTGGTGATGTATTACCCCTGTGATTTGTTTTCGCGGTTGTGGTACTGGTAATGTTAATCGGTATCTGAACTGGTCTGGGCTACCGCCAGCACAACCACGTCTCAAATGAAGAGTGTCGTGCCGCTGGAGCTAGCTAAATCGGCGCCGCGTGCTGCGCAGACTTTAATCGGCGCTTGCTCTAACGCCGCTTTTTGCCCTGCTATATATTTCTATCGGGCAGTTTTAGATTTTTGTGTGTGTGTGCACGTCGGTGGCAAGTGGTCTCCTGAAATTTGTCCACGGACCTTCTCCTTATTTACAAATTGGCCACAACGCGAGCAGCTTGCGCAGCGAAGTAAACATCAGCACTTGGGGGGAGACTAAAGGCAGCAAGGCCTGGTTGAGACTCAAAGGGCAATCCACACACTCTCTTAAGTGTTCCACATTTACTAAACCCATGATTAAGTCCGAGTCTCCCTGCTCGAATGAATAATGGGGCAACGCTCCTCCTCCTCCCATTGGTGGCCCGAGATCAACGGGTAGAATTCCACATTGCCATGGTGGGGGTGGGGGTGGGGGGGTATCACAAAAGGAACAACCACGGGTTGACTTCCAATAAATGTCTTTTTGGTTCTTTCGGTAAAGTCACGTAAAAGGGAAGTAATAAAATAATTTTTAAAAACATAATAAGATAATTCTCACGACGTTTCGGCCACAACGCAAGCAGCCGTCCTCAGGTGAAGACCAGGTCTGTCGGGGAGACAGCGTCTGAATGATACCGATTTAACATTACCAGTGCTTGCGTTGTGGCCGAAACGTCGTGAGAATTATTTTATTATGTTTTATATTGTTATTATTTTATACTTCCCTTCTACGTGACTTTACCGAAAGAACCAAGAAGATGAATCCCTGCAGTCACGAAAGCTTTAAATCGAAATTCCCATAAATGGTTTCTTGCTTTTACTGGTCACAGATGGATGCTGAGCTTGAGCTGACCACCTCGAACCAGAATCTGTACGTTACGTTGATTTCTGCTTTTGTGGGTTGAAGAGCTTGAGGTGCTGCACCACCCATCGTTGTCATTCGCCATGATCATTCCACTGCTGGATGAAGGCCTCCCCAAGCCGTCGACGCCACTTCCCATGATCCTGCCGTGCAGTAATCCACTGGCCACTAGCACTTGAACTGATTCCATCGCTCCATCTCCTCGGTCGTGGTCCTCTCGGACGCATTCCATCATTTGGATATCCAAGGAATGAGGAACGCGACCAAATGCGGCAGTTAAGATCTGTGACTCCCATACACCCGAGATGTGTGTGTGTGTGCTCGTGTGTGATCGGTTACTCCTAGGGGCAAAATTACAAATATTGCTACTTGAACTAAACACGGGCTTTGTTGTGGGGGAGGGGGCGGCTTCCTTGGGTGTATGGGAAAGCCAATTTGATATTGTTTTCAAAATGCACTTGCGGACTGGGAATTGAACGCCGATCCGCAGGATTACAGCGCCTGCAGCAATTGGAGCAATCGTTTTCCATCGCTTCCGCGCTGCAGGAGAAAACGCGCTGATCTTCGTGGAGGGATTTGGCTTGTGGGCAATAGAGGTGATTTAAACAAACTTTGATTTCCAAGAAGAGTCGTATTACATTTCTGTATTCATCTTGTTAACCAGCTTTGGTCGGGGCCATTGCGGGGGATTATTGTGAGAAAACATTCATTTCTCTTACAGGGAAGTTATCCTTGACACCAAATTAAATACGGTAGCGTGCGATTTTTATAAAAAATTGTATTTTAAACGTGCATGTCTTGCGTGACCACTTGGGTTTCCTTCCTCCCACAATGCAAGGCAATTCGTAATTAAAGTAAACGTGCAAACACCCGACATATGCAGAACCCCCCCCCCCCCCCCCCCACTATAGGAGGAGGAATAGTCAGTGAGGTTTTCCCATGATTAA